TTTTTCTACTATAACCCTAAATTATGTTAAAAGCAAAAAGAGGTAGAAATTAACTAATAAAGTTTAGTTTCCATTTCCAACTAAAGTAATAGTAATTTGTAAAGTGATTTGTAACATGTTTACGCAATAGGATGGGCACATCTTAACTGACCAAGTATCCCTTCCTCCCTACTTCCCCCACGAAGGGGGCTTTTCAATAGTAGACTAGAACCTGAGGTTGACACAGAAAAAGCCCAACCTTAAAAATCTACAGCCTATACCTATAGTAGAGCTTTGTCCACAGCTGACATAAAATACTGGTGGTTTGGAGAAGAGGCTGTTAGCTGATCTTTCAGCTGATCTACTCCCCCTACTCATGGGGGAGTAGAAGCCCTCTAACACCATCTGTTTTATATAATTTCCAGGCACACGCCTTTTAATACAGAATAAGTATTTACTTTTTCTTGTTCCTTTGCCATTATTTTTACCCACTTTAATCCAGGATCAAGGATTGTATTTCGAAAATAGTCTATGTTCAGAGGGAGGAAAAGGAATAAATATTGTGCCATAATTAGTAACATACAAATACTTACTTACTACAAAGAAAACAGTACCAAGTATCAATTTCTTATCATCTCCATCCCTAACCCTTGAATGGTCACTTCTTTTTAAAAAGGACTATTTATCTACCTGTAAGCACCTGGTATAAAATTGTAAATATTTCAAAGTTCTTTTACCATTGGCTGGCCGGCATCTGAGAACTTCACTTTAATATCTTTCAAGTGCTTCAGAATAGGTTCATCATGTTCCTTCAAATTAAAAAATAATAAAAATTAGTATCTAACATGGCATTCTAGGGTTTGTATTCTGTTACTACAGATAGCAGTTGAGACACAATATATTTTTAGTAAAGTTTTATATAATAATTATAACTTTAAGACTTACTCTCTAGATTATGGCTTATACTGAAGCTAGTTTTTACTATGGGTCTGCTGTCACTGGTAGAAAAAAGTGACCAAGTAGAGAACTACACCATTATACAAGATGAATGGGCTGAAAAATATAAAACCAAGACTTTGCTTGGTTTTATATTGCTTTAAAAATGTTTCCTGATTGTAATTGCTGTATTTTCCAGCTGCTTGTTCCTTTCCTCCTGCCTGATTCTTTTCCACTTTGCTAAAGTAGAAATGCAATAAGCAGTAATTGTGTTGAGATCATTTATTTTTCTCAATGTAACTTCCAACAATCATAAGACAGGGCAACAGGTACTACAATGCAAATGGTAGTGGCTCAAGAAATACTGGAGAGACAGTTTCCCAAAGAAAGTGACATCTGTGATGGTTTCACAAACAAATGTGACAACTCTGAGTGAGTTAAACCTCTTTACACTATTCTTTAAAATGTAAATTTCTCATGGAATAGTTTTGGCTTCACACTGAAAAGCTCTTTCTGGGAGGAGCCAAACAATTGAAAACTAAGATTGTCTTCCCTATCCTTAGTATGTAAAGACAGAAGGCACGGGGCTATGAGAAAACACCAGTTAATAATGAGTAATTATCAATGGAAACCATTTTATTATCTAATTTTTAAAAATAACTAATTTATTTGATTACATTAATCAAAGCTGTAATCGTCCTCCTACAGATATTAGTTCTTTCAAAAGTAAGCAATCATTTTAGAAAGGTCAACACTGAAGAGAACAGTCATCACAGCTATTTAAATTTCAAAAGTTTACCGTTGAGGTAAATGGGCATTTTTATGAATAAAATTACCTGAACCATATCACTGAGCAAGTCAACATTTTTAAAAACAGTCAACCAAAATTCAGGAATTCCTTTGGGATCTTCTTTTTCTTCATCCTTTTTCTCATCTTCAATCTTGGCCTTTTCTTTTAGCTCCTCCTTGATAAATGACAGCATACATTATTGAATGCATGGATTAGACCTCTTGATAAACTCTTGTAAATCTTCTTAACTTACATGCAGTGGCAAAAAACATAGAAACCCAGAAACCCACAGATCACCAACTATAACTTTCAGTCAAGTAAGTTTTAATCTGATTGTGTAAACACTGCTGTTACCCATACCAAATCTTATTTTCATCAGAATTACTGCTACCACACCCCTCCAAAAAGAATCACTAGGACCAAGAACTACAGGAAAAACTATTATAAAAAAAAAAAAAAAAATGAAAAATGAAGACTTAAATAAACAGGAAAAGCAAACGGAAGATTAACTTAACTTTGTCCAATGCCTCACCCCATGGTGCTTTTTAGTCAAAATATTATATTCTCTTTATCAACCAACATTAAATAACAATACTACAGAGATGGGTCATGTAACACAGCACTGAATCTGTGTCACAGTTCTGCCATTATTCTTTGTCACTGAGTCACTTAAAAGCCTGTATTTCTTCACTTAAAAAAATGGGAAAAGGCCAGGCGCGGTGGCTCACGCCTGTAATCCTAGCTCTCTGGGAGGCCAAGGCGGGCGGATTGTTTGAGCTCAGGAGTTCGAAACCAGCCTGAGCAA